GAATTAATGAAAAAATCTATTTCACTGTTTTTATGCTTTAGTTAGCGTTTTGACTCCAATGCGAGGGGGTGAATCATCCTAAAAATAAAATGTTTGAGTATGTTCGAACAGCTGTTCAATGGTTGGCAATACGCCTTCTTACAAAATTCGCAGATCCTTTAAGAATAATAAGCTGTCGGACCACAAATTTGGTTAAAGCCACCCACACAATAAAATAGTGCGCTTAACGGTCTCAAAAAACGCTCTCCTTTCCAATAACGCACTGTAGCATTTCCATCAGGTGCAAACAAATTGAAGTTTTATTTCCCCAGTCTGATGTAGTTCAAGTTTTGTGTGATGTTGCCTACTATAGCCGCTGCTTCTTCATTTGGGTAGTGAGAAGTGATTTTTTGGCTGCACGTCGTGCAAAATCCACGATTATTTAGGATATTTTGCATAGAACTTGGTTATTTTTACCCCAGACGTGACAAATAGGTTTTTAGCTTTAAATGTGATATACAGAAATTATTTTTACAACTTGTATACGAAGTTTGCCACGATACAAAGTAACACCGAGGAAGAAACACCAGCAACCCAAAAGGTTTATACATACTATATATTAAATATTAATGTGACGAGTTGAACCTGTCCGTATATGCGCAAACTGGTCCTTCAGTTCTTGGGATATCGCTAAGTAATTTTGTACGCGTCCTTTTCTACCCACGAAGATACTCATCTGATCACTATCATAAAATCAAGATTGTTAAAAAGTGTGTGAAAATATCAACAACTATGTTTAAGTAGCGGTTGTTACAATTCATCACAAGACTTCTCATGTTTTTACCTATAAGGTCAAAATCAGTTTAGTTGTCCTTAAGAAACAGAAAATCATGATACCTTGGCACGAGATCAGTGGATTGTATGCCGAAAAACACCGTTGGGACTGCAGACGACCTAAATGATATTCTAACCGCTGTTGTGATCCTCTCAAAAAGGTGATACTGCAGGTAAATGATTGGGTATATGGCTTATCACTTTAACAGGTATCTAGTCTAAAGTTTTCTCATGTTAACGGTCACACACCGAGTTAATACTCAGCATTCTTATTTGTGGAACTCTAAATTATAAGAGAAAGTTGAGGACTAATTTCATTAGCGCATTTATAGTTAGAAGATGAAGTCATGTGTGGAAGTTCACGAAAGTGAGAAAAGTTCTCTGATTCTCTGGGAGTGGCCAGAAGCGATTATTTTACATAATCACCATATATATAATTGTGAGAAGGCGGAACATTTTTACAGGCCAAAATTTACACACATTTTGGGGCAAACTCAACGATGGTATTTCATAAACTTTTGATTTCGAATGTAGGACCTAAAACATACAATATTTCCTGGAAGAGATTTTTTTGTTTAGATTTCAACTAAGGAGTCAGCCGGAATGCAGTGAAATTTTTAGCGGCGATTGTTGGAGATCGCCTGAATAAATATTTTTCTTCAAACATTTTATTGTTCTTCTTAAAATATGTATGAATATAATAACAAGAATTGCTTAAGCAACTTGAAAAGAATTATTTAGACATAATACCTAAGCTAAACTAGAGGAATAAATTTTAATTTCTAAGAAACTTTGCATAAACTTTGAATTTTCTTAAAATAATAATGTACGCTCGCTTTGTTCCTAACATACTAATGACTGAACATATATAATTATTCCAAGAAATTAATAAGAAGAAGGTATGACTAAACTAACTTGTAATTCCAATTACGAGATAAAAATTAACGAGGCTTTTTCTTCATACGCCCAATGATTATGCTGGCCCTCAATTCATTCAATACAAGCTCCTTTATGCACTATACTACGTTACTGAAGCAAGTTCTCCTTCCACTGCATTATAATAAATCAGCAATAAATAAATGCTTACGTTACTATCAGCTCACCTGCGCCCGTAACCGCTTAGCGTGAATTCAAATTTAAGCAACTTTACATTCCTTTATCTCATAAAAAAAAACGCATCTCTTTTTGTTGTTGTCAATTTTAACGCGCTTTTTACGTGCTCACCGCCGTCAGCCGACACAACGTGCGCCATTATAGCCACCTGCAGTTGCCTACTTAAGCTTCATCCACACATCAACATATATACATACAAACGCTCTTACCCGGGTACACGAAAAGCAGCGTATCTGTGAGTGCGACTATTAATCTTAATGTGCTTGCATGCCAATTTGCCAACACATATGCACACATACACACATAGTAGGCGAAAAAACGGAAAATATCTACAAGTGCAAACACACCGTAGTATGCAACACAATGCCAACAACACAGGGTAGAGGTAGGTATTATTATTGTGTAGGAAAAATTGTAAAAAACCACAAAATGTTCGCAAAGTGTTGGCTGGCGAGCAACTTCAGCTTGTAGTTCAATGATGTTTGGGGCATTGCAAGGTGCTTCCGCAATTTTTGCTAAGCAAAAGCTGTTTGGGTATGTTGGGTGTAGTGTTGCACTTTTCGGTGCTACTCGACGCCTTTGAGTAATGTGCACGAATTACTAACTCTTTCGACTTCCGCTGTAAGCAAGTATAAGCTCTCATGCCCATATTGCACTTGGCGCTGGTTGTAGCCTTAAATGGCTTGCGGCAGGCACAATGATACAACATTTGGCATTTCCGTTTTCACTTTGTACTTGCTAAAGGAGCAAGTTAAATTCGACTAAATAGATACCTTGAGTGGACTGGCGCACGCCATAGTAGCCAGAACAAGGAAATTGTTTTTAAAAGGCGACACTGTTAAAGAAGTGATACCGACATACATAGATATGCACTGGTTAGGTTTTGTTGAAGTAAACTTGCTGAAAATTTAACTAAATCACAGCGCTTTAATATTTCATCAGTTTATACAGTGGGTATACGCAACTTTTTGTCGAGAGGAGTAGTACACACGAGTAAATGTGTCAAAACTTTGAATGTTATTTACAAAAAAAACAAAAAAACAGGGGAAACAGAGGCCGCGTCCTCAGCGCCATGATTTCTACCCTTCAATTAATTTGATTTTTTTTTTTAAATATTACAAATTTCATATTTATATTTTTTGTTGCTTCTGGTGATACGAGATATATTTAAGAAATATTCATGCCAAATTTCAAATAAATCGACTAATTAGAACGTGAGATATTGTGGCTACCGCATCAAAAAAAAATGGAGTTTTGAGAAAAACGCGTTTAAAGTTTTACGTTAAGTTTCGGGCGGCGTAATAGATAGATAGATAGTTCGCTCAACCGGTCTAGTTGCCACGTCACTAAAATAGCTATAACGTTGAAAATAATTTGAGTCCTTTTTGCGAGATATTTTTGAATATCAAAACTATCGAATTTGGGGGAAAAAATTTCGATTTTTCGACTATAATACCCTCCTTAATAAGCCTTTTAACTTGTTATCCTGGTTATCTGTTGCTTAATAAAATTATTTAGATGTATTCACTTTACTAAAGGTAGAATTTGTACGATTTTGAAGCGAACACCGCCTAAATAAAAATATGTAATCTATAAATATTTCCAATATATAATTTGCGAAAGTATTGAATATCCGTAATAGCCGTCTCTCTTTTGTCATTGCATTCTTTAAATTTTTTTTATTTTTTATTTATGAAATAAATATAATAAAATAAAATTAAGGCTTTGTTATATAGAAATGATCAAAATGTATGTTTAGCCATACGAGAAAGAGATAACTTGAGCAAAAATTAAGATATTTTGTTGAAACTTCCTACACTTTTTTCTTAGAACCCAAGGAAAGTTGGTGTTATGGGTGAGTTGAATCGCTATTATTACACGCCCACTGATTAACGAAAACTTAAAAATTACTATAATTTAACTAAAAATGTCATTTGGTGGACGGTATCGTTTTGGAAGGAGGACTGTGGGATTGAAAAAATTTAAAAAGTGGTAGTGGCCCTTCCTCTAAGGGGTTAGGTGAGCATATTTCAGAAACTACTTAAGGGGTTACATGGGTGGTTTAAGGGTTTCCATAATTCGATTTTTTTTTTTTTACAACACCTCTAAAATATTGTCTCAAATTTTCAAAGTTGAACCGAGTAAAAGCTCCGGAGTTTCGAAGATACAGCCTTGAAAACCTGTTTTTTCTCGAGATTCATTAAATTTTACACAGTTCTTTAAGATACAATTGTTGAAGACTTTTTCTTTTTTCGATTACAACTATTTGATTATTGAATTTAATTTTTTGGATTTTTTAATTTTTTACTTTTTCTTTATTTTTTAAATGTCTGCCGAAAATCCAATTTGTTTTTCCTTCGTTCAAGTTTAAAGTTAAGGTTTTAACCAAAACAGGTTTTCGCCATTTTAGCCGATCCTATAAGGAGTTATCCTGCCAACCCGTGCGCAGTTTTTTTCTAATAGTCAGCGGAAATGACGTCGCAATGGCCGCGTTTAAAATATTTTTTTTCCAAAAATTTCAAAATTTCTTTGTTTGTAGTGTATATTTGTAAAATAATAAAATATTTCATATACATTTAAGATTATTATAATTTTTTTCATATTTTATATGAGAAAAAAAGTTGAAAAAAGGCTGTTTTTTACCAAAGAAACCCATGTAACCCCTTAACATATTTCAAACAAACTTGCTAAGAGGCAGTATTTTAAAAACTTTTTTGTTTGCCGTGAAAATTGGTTAAATCAGATGATGACCACGCCCCATCTAAAAATGCCACGCTGGCACTTTCACACATGTTCACAATTTCTTGTCACACTTCGCGCACACTTTGCGCATGTTCAAGTGCTCCGTCACAATGTCACACATTGTTTCACAGACTTTAACGCGACGCTGGTTTACGAAAAAATTTAGGCATTTTGGAACCAATCGTGATTTTACTTTTCTTAGGACTAAATTCTGTTTTCAATGGTTTTCACGGATCCTGCTGATATTTCAACGATGCCAGTAAGATCTCTGAATGTTAATCGTACATCTTGAAACACTAATTCCTTTATTTTATTGACGTGTGCATCACCAGTTAAATGTGATGATGTTGATGGCCGTGCTGGACGTCGTTCGTCATCAACGCATCCTCGGCCCTATTCGTATAATTTGAACCAATCAAAAGCATTTGCGCTCGACAGACAAACAACTATCACCGAAGGTCATTCCCAACATTGTGAATGTTTCGACAGAAGAAATTTGATTCATCGTAAAAATCGCCGAATGATTTTATGTACTTCAGCAAGACAAGCGTATCCTATCTTTCAAGATTATTATAAAGTGTCATTTGGCACAGATGTCGTGTACCAACATAAAAAAAAATATTTCGACGAATGGGTCTTAGTGCTAAATTTAAATTAAAAAGTATTTTTTGCCCACAGAGGATATATTAATAAAAGTGTTTCCTCATCCTTATCAATTTCTGTCTCACATGAGTATGAATAAAATATACCAACAACGCTAAAAATTTCAAAAAAGCCAAAAACATAGCGGCACATTTAATATTCTTATTATATTTGTTTTTGTGTTTTGTTAAGAAGAGCGGGGTATGTTGTTTATAATCCGCACACATACACGTATCGTAATCCACCAAATTGTCGAGCGACTCTGCATTGGCCACAGCATAGCATTGTTGAGGGCATTTAACTATTTACATTCTATTATGCCTTATTTATATTTCATTTGCAATTAAATATTTATTAGCAATTATTACTAATTCGTGTGTAAATTTGAAAGTAAATGCCAAAAACAAAAAAAGGAAAACAAAACAACAGTAAACGTTTAATACAAATAAATAAACAGGCATTTTAACCGTTATATGGGTCAATTACCGGGTGTTGAAGGGCATTGTGGCTAATTGTGGAGTATTAGCTTTAACAGTTGCAAACAAGTATAATTAATACTTAAGCCTATGGCTAAGTGATTATTTCACCGATTTTTATTCAAAGCGATATTTATTTATTTTAATTTTTTTTTTTT